CGCTGGGGCCGCAGCACATCGCGCACCGCAAGGGCTGGCTCTCGCTGCACACCGGTGAGTGGCACCGCGCCGCGCGGGGCGGCCGCCGCGGGGACACCGACACCGCGCGGGGCGGCCGCCGCGGGGACACTGGCCCCACGTGGGGACGACCACCCCGGGGACACCGACACCGCGTGGGGACGGCCCTCTGGGGACACTGGCCCCACGTGGGGACGGCCACCCCAGTGACACCGGCCCCACATGGGCACAGCCGCCCCGGGTGACACCGGCCCCACATGGGGACGGCCACCCCGGGGACACCGGCCCCCCATGGGGACGGCGACCCCGGGGACACCGGCCCCGCATGGGGACGACCACCTCGGGGACACCAGCCCCACATGGGCACAGCCGCCCTGGTGACACCGGCCCCACATGGGGACGACCGCCCCAGGGACACCGACACCGCGTGGGGACGGCCGCCCCGGTGACACCGGCCCCACATGGGGACGACCGCCCCAGGGACACCAACCCTGCGTGGGGACATCTGCCCCGCAGTGACACCAGCCCCACGTGGGGACGGCCACCCTGGGGGACACTGGCCCCACGTGGGGACAGCCGCCCCGGGGCCACCGACACCGCGTGGGCACAGCCGCCCTGGGGTGACACCGGCCCCACATGGGCACAGCCGCTCTGGGTGACACCGGCCCCACATGGGGACGGCCACCCCAGTGACAGCGGCCCCGCTGCCGCCCCCCGCGCGCAGGGAACCTGTGCGGCGAGGCGGGCGCCGCCGAGCGCGCCGTGGAGGACGCCTTCGTGCGCCGCTTCCTGCACGGCACCTTCCCGGGCTGCCTGGCCGCCGACGTGGTGCTCAAGCGGCGYGGCAACGCGCTGCTGCTGTGCGCGCTGCTGCTGCGCGCGCTGCCGCCCGCCAAGCTCTGCTTCCTCGTCGGCTACACCGAGACCCTCCTCGGCCACTTCTACAAGTGCCCCGTGCGCATGGAGGTGCAGACGCTGCCCGCCAAGGTCGCCTACAAGTACCTGTAGCGCGGGGCAATAAAAGYGCTCCGTAACCCGCCGCCCTGCTGCTGGCGCCCGCACGGCCATGGGGACGTTGCACGCGAGTGTCCCGTGTGCCCCACTTGCCCCACGGCGCTCACACACCAGGCGCAGGCTGAGGAAAGGGCTTTAAATAGAAGCACGGTGGAGAGAGCGGCGGGAGCGCACGGGGCTCCGTATGGAGAGCACACGGGGCTCCGTGCAGGGAGCGCACGGGGCCCCGCACAGGGAACACGCGGGATCCCCGTCCAGGGGACATGCGAGGTCCCCAAACAGGGAGCGCACGGGGCTCCGTGCAGGGAACACGCGGGATTCCCATCCAGGGAACATGCAGCTCCCCATACAGGGAGCGCATGGGGCTCCGTGCAGGAAGCGCACGGGGTCCCCATACCGGGAACGCGCAGCATCCCCATACCGGGAACGCGCAGCATCCCCATGCAGGGGACGTGCGGGGCTCCGTGCAGGGAGTGTCCCGGTCCCCGTGCAGCACCCAGGTCCCCATGCTGGCCGCGCGCGGGTCCCCGTGCACCGCGCGGGTCCCCGTGCAAGGTGCAGGTCCCCGTGCACCGCGCAGGTCCCCGTGCACCGCGCGGGTCCCCGTGCAGGCGGCGCTCAGCGCGGCGGCCCCGGCGCCGCCTCCTCGAAGC